ACACACACACACACACACACACACACACACACACACAGATCACTGCAGGCTGACTCTCACTAGCAGTGGCAGCACTACTGCACGCTTTACACACACCTCAAGAAAGTTATTCATCTGAAGATTAAAGTCTTCAAAACACTCATGCCAATTTTGTGTGCAGTATTTAAGAGAAAAAAATACCTGTGTCTTATTGACTTATCACCTGCAGTCCCGTTTAACTGGCTGCTATCTGTTCCTGTATAGCGCTGCACTTTGTGTCTTTAGTCATTATCATTCTTTTCAAAATATAAAACAATTAATGCTAACTATTATAATTTTATATTTTAGCATGTTCTGAGTTGTGCAAGACCAGGGTTATTATTAACCTTATTAACGTTTTCAATGTTAACTAAAGCTAAAACTATATTAAAAAAAAGTTAATTACTGAAACAAAATATACTTTAACTGAAATAAAATAAAAAAAAATAAAAAAATTAAGTTACTACATTCCTCATTGTTTAGTTTACTTTGAAGTACTAAAATAATTAAAACTTAAATAACCTAAAACTAAAATCTGAAACTTAATAAAAACTATATGGACATAATTAAAAATGTATAATAAAAATGACAAAAAAGACATGATTGAAATAAACATTAACATAAATAAATCAAAATATAAAAATCTTAATTACCTGAAACTGTTCTAAAACTAACTACATAAATAAATTACAAAAATAAGAAATTTAAAATGAATAAAATCAAATCTAATTCTAAATATTAATACTATAATAGTGTGTTAATAATACTAAAATTACACTGTTGAAGACCCCAAAATATGATTATTATTGTTAATAATAATAATAATAATTGTATATGTTTGCATGTTCTGCATTATATTTTTATATATTATAAATTATATATATATATATATATATTAATTTTTTTTTGCTTTAGAAACTCTCTACGCAATTAATAAAAATGAACTTCTGAAACATGTCTGGAGCAATGCCTAGGCAATTATTATGAAGTATAATCATTCAAGAAGACTTGACCGTTTATATCCAGATGGATGTGCACCTTTAAGAAGTTACTATTAGGAGACACATTCTCTTTCTCAGACTTTGGTGTTTTTGACCTGTGCTCGGGTTTTCAAACTACAGATTAGACCTTGTCTATCAATATAATCCATGAAGTATAACCACATAATGTTCTTATTGAATTTGTTTGCAAACTTTTGCACAGATAATTCCCCGCCAATCTGTCAATCATATTGTGAGACATAATCCAGAGAGACAGATGCGTCTTGTCATCACAGCAGCATGAAGGATCTCCACCTGGGTTTTGTGTCGGTCACAGCTCTCTATGAGCCGTTCTCATTACAGTGAGGAGAGGAAGGTAATGGCCATCTGAAGCCCTGCGGTGGCGCGACACTTCTCTCCGTGAGAATGTGAGAGCCTGCCAACCTCTCCCGTGCGGCGCTGCTGGAGGGAGCTGTCTGCATGAGAAATATAGTGTCTGGCAGCATCCCGTCCAATCAATCAGTCAATGCAACAGTATCTCTTTAGAGCTGTGATTAGCTCTCAGACTGTTGTGTTGGGTTGTGATTTTCCCCAGAGACTCGTATCGGCCAGAAACATACACATTTGATTCCACTCTATACTTATTGCTCCACAATGACAACAGCTGACCTCAAACTGAAAACTGACTCTACAAAATTCAATTTTTGGGCTATAGTTTGCTATTGCGACCTTGTAGCAGCTTTGTCGATGTAGCTCGTACATGCATTTTGTAATGAATCAAGTCCTAAAACTTTTGAATGCTACAAATCATAATTTTAGAGTATTTTTGAGGGGCTGTTCTGTGTCTGTGCTCTGTTTCTATGTACAACACCAGTGTCGTTACTTGTAACTAAAACTGTTTTTTTTTTTTATTACTATTGAAATAAAGCTGAAATTATAAATATATGATGAGGAACTTTAAAATTAGAAATGTTGGCAACTAATTAAAATAAAATGCATTTAAGTACGAAAATTAAGACAAACTGAAATAAAAAGTAAATTCAATTAAAATAAATTAAATATAAAAACTGAAAATATAAAATAAATGCTATAATAGTATGTATCTATTACTAAAATAATGTTAACATAAAACAAATCTTTTTTCATTAATTAAAAAAATTCATAAAAGAACGTAAACAAAACGAGAAATGTTGAATCGGTAAATAACTGAAATAAAATCTAAGTACTAAAATTAAAACAAACTGAAATAGAAATAAATTTAAATAGAAATATTTTATAGAAAAGCACATAAAATGACTAAAACTAAAAATATAAAACTGACAGAAAGTAATGCAAAAGTAACGTAATGCTTTACTTTCCATAAAAAGTAACTAAGACAATTAGTTACTATTTTATGGAGTAACGCAGTATTGTAATGCATTTCTTTTAAAAGTAACTTTCCCCAGCACATGCTAGACGCTAAATCTTTGACTGTTGCAATTCATATCACGGATTTTCAGCATCTCATACTGCAAGCATCACATTTTTAAGATGCTGTATCACATTAAAAGAAGTTCCATTTTTAAAATGTCTAAGGCCCCGTCCCCACGGAGACGCGTTTAGCTGTATACACATAAATTTTGTATCGTATAGGCGTTTCGTCCACACGGATCCGGCGTTTTGGGAGAGTGAAACCGATATTTTTTGAAACCAGGCCCCAGGGTGGATAAATCTGAAAACGCCGCCCTTGCGTTTTCGTGTGGACAGCGAATCCGTATATTTTCTGAAACGATGACGTCATCAGCCCACGTCTCGCCCCTAGTCAGACACCGCTACGTCATGTCACGTAACAACAAAAACATGAACAAACACTGAACGATTGTCTTTTTATTAACTAACGTTAACACAGATTAATGAATGTATTGTTCCATGTTCGTTTGTATACCGCGGGCAAGGTTTATGCGCATAGTCCAAGTCTTCTTCTCCGTTTTTAGTGTATCTCTGTGGCAGAATTACAGCGCCACATACTGGTCTGGCACGTATACTACATCGGTTTGTGGTTTCGTGTGGACGCAGATATTTCTTGAGACGAGGGGGAAAAAAAGATCGGATAGGGAAAGCTCTGGCTTCGTGTGGACGTAGCCTAAGAGAAGAAGCAGACTTAACAGAAGTCTCCATTTAATCTCATTGCTTTCTTCGAGAAATAATTGAGATATGAAATAGATTTCATATGTGATTTATTTGGTGTGATTTCTCAATGTATTGGCAGGGGTTAAATGGGAGCTCAGCTCACTGTTGTAGAGAGTGTAGTGATGATCTATACAGATACTACTCTTTCTCATGAAATATATCAGTCCCAAATATTACAGGATCCAAGATTACTAGATTACAGACAGCTTGATGTGGCTTGGCAGAATGAGTTGTTGGACAGGGCTGTATTTTGAAAAGGCTAATTGTAGTAATTGAAGAACGTCTTGTCAGAGCTCATCGATTTGTCGCATGTTTCTGTGGCTGTAATTGCATTGATGATGAAGAAGAGCAGACCTACGGCTGCACGTGTATCATTTAAACACATTTATAACCATTAAGATTTCATTAGGATCCTTTGTCCAGGAAGTCATTTGTCTTTTCGCTTCACTCGCTCATAGCCACGCGAGATGCTAATTTAATCTTTTTACATGTGCCCTCATTTTTTTTTTGTCCTGCTGAAAAATAAAATAGACCAGCCTGTGTGGAATATAGAGCAGCATGCATTTCAGTGCTGAGTGAGTGAACTTAACAAATCAAATTCACTGAATGCTTCATGCATGAGATGCTCCTATCAGTTAGGATGAAATAGGTGAACTGCTGCAAGTTTTTATGCTGTTTTAAGAACAGTTTGTGGGAAGTGTGTGAGTTGTGACTCTTAAATGAGTCACAGTGAGCTACTAGATAGCTCAGGTTCATTCACAATGATGAGGGAAGCAGCTATAAATGTATTTTCAGCATGGAATTTTTTTTTTTTATACCTGTGCATACTATGTATTTTTAATGCTGCTTATTCCATAAATATTGCTTTGTTAGCAACATGCTAACGTCAGACTCTTGTGGAGCAAGATTGCTTCCTATACAACATACTTGTGACAACCTTTGTATAATTAGTTATTTAATTGAAATAATCAATGTAGTAATCTATAAACCACTCCATTTTCTGTTTATTTTCTTGTTTATCATTTTTTTATTGTCAGTCATATGTGGTAGTTTGATGGCCTGATTGTCAGAGTAAGTAGTGTACTGTTTACTGCATACTATGCATACTATTATAAAATCCTTGAAACAAAATACACTTGCTTTAGAAGTAACACTGCAGATACTGATAGATCTTTAAGAACAAGTCTTATGCATTGTTGTTTCTCAATATTTCATTCAATATCCATATCAACTGGGAAAATAATATAAAAAATACTCATGACAATATAATTTTTGGAGTATATGTGTGCAGTATTCTGCGAAAGTAGTATGAATAATAGTATGTGGACCATGTCAGATGTGATTTCTTTAGCTTAACTAGTTGTTTTTGTGAGTTTTTTGTTGTTTTGTTGGTGTTCTTTTTGGCTTTTAAGGTCCAAGGCCTTGCAAGCCTCTTTTCTCTTTATGTTAGATTTCAAAGGACAGTATAAGTTTGCATCATGAGCGTAAGCACTATTGAGAGAACTAGCGACAGTTAGTCTGTTCTATATTTTACTCAGTTTACTTGTTGTTAGACTACTAAAACGGAACACATAGAACATCAGGCCCATCCCAAAACTTTACTGTGAAGCACCTTAAGCTGATTGGATGCCTAAACCCTTTAACCTTTGACCTTATTCTGAGCTGAATCTCCGCTCCCCTTCACCCTCCACTTTCCTAACTCTCTCCTTTCTCTCCTCCATCATCCATCCATCCACCCTCAACTCTTCCCCTCTGCCGCTCCTCCTCCTCTCTTCACGTCTCTCCTCCACGGGCCACCACTGACAGTGAATTTACGTCCAAAATGAAAAACAGGCAAGTGGGAACGGCGGCCGGGGGCAACATGACCAAGAGCACCAGCGTCGGTGGGGACATGTGCAGTCTGGAGAAGACCGACGGCAGCCAGTCGGACACGGCCGTGAGCCTGGTGGGAACCGTTGACAAGAAACGGCGCTCCAGCATCGGCGCCAAGATGGCGGCGGTCGTGGGGTTAGGCCGAAAGAGCCGCAGCGCCTCGCAGCTCAGCCAGACAGGTATGAGTCCAATAACGTCTGTCTGTTTGCTGTTTGTCTCTAAATCAGCGTCTTTTATGTTCCTTTTGTCGTCTGTACAGTATGTTCTTCCCGACCCTTTAATGAACGTACTTTTCTTGCATCAGCTCTAACTACCTAACAACTTTTATTTAAGCAGCCTGTTTCTCAAAAGTGTAAATTGGGTCGGAGCAGGACCGAGGACCGCCGAGTAATTGAGACCCTCTGTTTCACACCATTCTTTCTTTCTGTTGCCATTGCTTTGAAGTGACAGAAGTGCACCAACTGTTTGCAGCTTTTTATTTCAGTCGAGTGTGCAATTAATGAATATCCAACTGCTTAAAGTTTGAATCATTGTTTTATTTGGGCTAAAGTAATGTGGTATTACCATATTTTTTGGACCTGCACTTTGGTAATGTCATGTTTTTGGACATTTATCATTGCAATACTTTGTTATTTTTTGAATACATTAAATATAATCATTTAGTACTATGGGATATGTCAAAATACCATGATATTACTATAGTACATGTCCAAAGACATGGTATTTGTAATACAGTAATACCAGGTCTTTTTGTTGATGATGTACATAAAGTTTGAATATTTTTGTGCTGTGGTAGAGGGTTGTTGCATTATTATTATTTGGCATGTACACAAAGTAACATGGTATTACCATGATTTTTGGACATGTACTGTGGTAATTTCAGGTTTTTGGTAATTTATTGTTGCAATACTATGGAATTCTATGACTACATAAAATATAATAATTCAGTACCATGGTATATGTCCAAAAACATGACATTTGGGAATTTTATCATGGTAATTGCCAAGTTTTTTTTTTGATGATGTGCATAAAGTTTGAATAATTTTGTGTTGTTTGTAGAAGATTGTTTCGTTATGATTGCTTTATTTGAAAAGGCTCGTTGTTGGTGCATGGTTTTTGTTTGGGAGCAGATTTAAGGTGTTCATGTTGCAAGGTGTACATTTTTCATTGCTGGTTGAAGCTGGTACTTTTTAGGTTCAAACCCTGGAAGGAGCCATCAATGTAGCATCACTGTTGCGCTCTTGATGATTTTTTTATTCTCAGGTGCTGCAGTCTGAAGCGTATCACACAGCAAACACATCCTCAACCCTTCTAGCACAGCATGCATTTACCCTTACAAAAGTAACCGAATACAATGATGCATTGATATATATACCATGGTACTGAATTGCATTTATGTGGCACTCCAATATACTTCCAAGAATACCATAGTACTATTGTGGTGCACATCCAAACAATGCTTTAACCATGGCATGTTTTGATACTTTTTTTGGTATGTTTATTCTCTTTTCACTATATACACTGTTCACACAAAAAGTACTGTGGTATTACCTTGTTTTTTTGGAAATGTGCTGTGGAAATACTATGGTATACTTTGAAGTACCTTGATCTACAATGTAAATTCCATGTTGTATGAATATGATCATGCAGTATCATGGTGTATATGAAAATACCATAGTATTACTATAGTACATGTAAAAGATTTACCATGTTAATACTGTACAATTTTTCTTGGACATTTGCTTTGTAAATACTGTGGTATTCTGTGAAGTACCTTGTACTACCATGCAAATATCATATATTATAAAGCAAATTAATACTTTTATTCATCAGTGATGCATTAAATTGGTTTAAAGTGACAAGTTATATTGCTATTACTGCTATTTTGGTAGTACACAGCAGCTCTTAGGCACCATTTCATTTATTTTATAGGTTACTGATTTCTCTTTACAGCATCTCTGCAAAGACTTTGTTTTCTCCCATATTCTGTCTGTCTAGAGTTTCCATGGTTTGCTGTAATTGAGGAGTGTGAGCGTATTTTCCAGTGTGGGCACGTTTACCTCATCTGTCGCAATCAATGAGCAGCTGGTAAAAACACTCATTTAAAAATGTGGCTCTGTTTATCCAGAGGTCAGTGGATTTCTTTGCCGTCTGTAGCCCATGCTCAGCCTCTAATCAGCTCATTGGCCAGCGCTGGCCGTCTGAAGTCTGAATGGTGGCGTGCAGGTAGATCACATGCCATGAAGAAATGAACACAGCCCATCAGACAGCTCGTGCTCAGCCTGCACGTGGCAGGTGGTCGGCAGTGTGTTTGTAATAAGTTGGGCTGGTTGCCAGGGGCCGTAGCACTTTGTCATGTCTCATGGGGGTGTGTTGTGTCTTCTGCTTGTCTGTGATGTCTTTGAGCATCCTTCCATTAACACAGTCTCTGCTTGCAAAAAATGAGGAAGAACACACAGACCACAGTTGGTCTTTTTTTTTATCTGGAGGAAATTTGGCAACCTAGTTTTTCTTTTTTTGTTCTAAAGCTGATGTGTGCTATATTTTTCAATGCTAAAATGCTTTTTTCAAAATCTCTAAAATGAGTTAAAGTCATTATTGTGTTCATTACCATTAGAGCTGTTCTTACTGGCACAGTAAAAACAACGCTTCATGCCCAAAATATTACTGACCCCTGGTATATAGTATCCAAATTGTCCATTTAATTCATATGGAAAATCAGAATATTGGAAAAACCGTTTGTGCCTAAATCAGCACTTCCATTTACTGTGTTCAAGAGAACAAAATTGTCACTATCAGGGAAATTGATACAAAATAAAAATGGAAATGAATATTGAATATTTAATCCACTGGGTAAAGTCACATTAGTTTTAATTTTTTCAATGTAATTAATTTATTGTTTGTTTCCCTATGTAGTATTTATAAGTGTTATTAATAGGAATTGGCTTTTATTTTTATATTTTCAGTTTTCATTTAAATCTTAGTGTTAGTCATTTTAGTACTTTTATTTTAGTTCGTTGCAAAGGCAAAATTTGCAATAAAGTTTTTCATCTAATATTGTATTTTATTTTATTTAACTTTTATTTAAATTAATGAAAACAATTTTAATGCTTAGTTAACAATAATAATGCTGCGTCAGAGCAGCATGTGAGATGCTATGTGATTACATTGTTCTGATATGTTCTTCTTTTTTATTTGTTGTTCAGTGGCAATGGTTGACAGATGTTTTTTTTTTAATTAATATTAGCTTAGCTTTTATTTTTTATTTAATTTGTAAAATTTTAATTTTAGTAATTTTGTAATGCACTTTTGTCATTTTTATTAGTTTTAGTTTTTTAGAATTTTTTTAGCACAATTTTATTTATTTTCAATTTAGTTTTAGCAATTTTTATTACTTCAACTTCAACTTATTTTCAGTTAGTTGTAGTTGCCAAAGCAACATTTCAAATCCCATTTGTTTTTAAGCTGAAGTTCTCATATAATATTTTTTAAATTTTATTTTATTTTATTTGAATCAGCGAAAAGAGTTTTAATAATTTTAGTGTCATTTTTAATTAAAAAATTATAATACTGCATCAGAGCATTATTTGAGATCTTGCGATGATACTGTTCTGATATTTTCTTCTGTGTGTATATATATATATATATATATATATATATATACATACATATGTGTGTGTGTGTGTGTGTGTGCGCACATATATACACTTTTTTTTACATTTCATTCATATCTTGTTTGCATCTATAATTTTTTATGCAATGTGATATAATTTATAAAACAGCTATACACCTGATATCTAACAAATGCTAGAGACAAAACAGACCAGACAGATTTTCTTCCGTTTTGGAAAAAAAATTAGAATCAAAGTCGACACTGAGAATTCCAACCGAACATGTGAGAAATGGATGTTCATTGTTGAGGTCCGGTGTGCTGTTTTATTTGGTGCTTTAGAGAGCCTCCTGTTCAGTGTCACACTCAATACAGCGGCACGCTTTCACCAACTACAGGAAATCAGGTCTGGCTGAGATCTGCAGCTCTGAACAACAACACCGGCTCACGAGATGTGAATCATAGAGCATATAAATTTTTCAGGCAGAGCTTTTAGGTGGTGTGCGCGTGCAGGCGTTTGAAATCCCTGGCCTGTTTCTCAAAGCCGAGTCCGACTCTCCGGCTGCTTCCTGCTCCACTTTGTTGTGCTTAATTCAGAAAGCCTGACAGCATCCTAGAGAGGGCATACTGCACAGATACGTGCTTTAAAAAGAGGTTATTCTAGGCCTTCACTGGGTAAAAAAAAAAATGGTTTTGTGTGTTTGAAATGCGGTTGCACACACAGGACAGCTGTCCAATGCTTATATTCAGAAATAGTGCAGTAAATTGATCATTGCTCTTTCTTTGAACTTTCTATTCTTCAACGAATCCTTAGAAATCCTGTAAATAATCCTGTATCACTTTTACACAAAAATACTAAGCAGCTCAACTGTTTTTAACATTGATAATAATAATAAGAAATGTTTCTTGAGCAGCAAATCACCATATTAGAATGATTTCTGAAGGATCATGTGATACTGAAGACTGAAATTCAGCTTTGCCATAACATAAATAAATTACATTTTAAAATATATTCAAATAGCAAACAGTTATTTTAAATTGTAATAATATTTCACAATAATTCAGTTTTTAATGTATTTTTGATCAAATAAATACAGCTTCTGTGAGCACAAGACTCAAAACTTACTGACCCCAGACATTTGAATGGCAGTCTATATATAAATTATTGTTGTCTAACAGTCCAGTTAAAATGTCTCAAAATCCATAGAACAGTCACTGTTGATTTAATGTTGAGCTTGTCTCTAATGGTACTGTGCAGTGACATTCACATTAGTTATAGGTGTTTTGCGTCATACTAGCTGTTCCTGTTTTAGTGTATTTTATTGTATCAGCATCCATGTCCATTTAGTATTTACATGGAATATTTTTCAGGTTATATTACTGTATCTCAGCACTGTGAGTGTCCATGGGAGACCACTGGAGTCCTGCGGACCTCTCTAATTAATCTTTGATGACAAGTTCTGCAGGAGAGAGCTTCATGGAGCTGAAGCCTCGCGGTTTTATTCATGACCATGCTGAATTATCGCTCTGATTTATGGTGCCCGATTGTTCCTCTCGGCGTTTAGGAGG